TTGGGCGGTGGTGTAGAATGCTCTGGAGCTAGGGGCGAAAAAATGAATTTAACTTCCTAACAGTAACTTCGTGAACATCAAAATGGGAATGTTTTTCTGCAGTCGCAGACCCCTTAGCAGCTCGCGATCAAAGTGCCTTTCAAAGCATGAAATGTTAATACAAACATGCCACAGCAATTATCATGGGGTGGTTTAGTTTTCCCCTGTAATGTTGCTAAAGGTACCCCCGCAACCGCTTCGCGCCCGTTCCCGCGGTTAGTGGTGCGCAGGTTGGGGTAGCGATCTCGCTGAAACGCGTTCTCTCTGCTGATATTACTGGTCGCTTTACAGCTAGTACTGTGGCCGGAAAGAGAAGAGGGATTGTGCTGCCTCAGCAGCCTCCCTGAGATAATACTACGTTAAAATGCGCCCCATGAGTTGCAGTACTTGAGCATTGCCGACTATCACTATACACTTCTTATCACAAAATGTTTCAAGCCGCTTTTGTTAAAATCAAATTAAGTGGTAACTACAAAGCTACGGAATCCGGTCTATGAAGCAAGCGAGTTACATGGAATAGTATCAAATAAACACCAGTACGTGAGTCTATGTTTTGATAGAGTTAATAACCTTTGCTAGAATAAAACCAACTGTAACTCCGACCACCTCACCAAGAATAATTGTGCACAACGCATTCTACCAGGAATCAGAGTAAGCAGCCCATTAACGGTACTGCTCCATCAGAATAGTGGAAGGGCAACTTCTACTTGCCGCGAAAAGATATTTCACAAACGTAGTACATAAGCGTACTTAGGGGCCGAAAGGGGATACAAAAGGAGGCGAACGCTCCGAGAAGGAAAAACCTAATTCCATAAGAAAAAGGATTTGCCGTCAGTTTGAAGAATCAAATATCTGAGAGTCGTTTTCATACAAGGTAATTGCCTAAAATAGAGCAGTACATTGTGGGCAGACTAGGTTCGTATCTTCTAAAAACCACAATGTACTATTTCAAGCAAGTCTGAGTTGAGAAAATGACTTTCAAATCATCTACCAAACTACGAGAGGACTGGAACGCGCCAACTAGGGGATGGATGATGTAATTACAGATTCTCACAGTAAAGCCCCTTTACACGAATACCAGTCCAGCTACTTTTTAATATGTAAGTCAAAATATTTGTACTCAAACAAATAATTTTACTGAAAAGCAAAGATGAAGTCGGTTCTGTCTGCGAACAACGAAGAAATTAGTGCAGGTGGAAATGCGCCAATGCCACCATTCAGGACTTACACTCCTTGAGATGCAGGGTGAGCATCTCAGGTGCATGCCTCTCCCTCTCAGTTGGTTGGAACCAACACTGGTAGTCGCCGACATTTTCAGCATTCACCTCGAATAACAGAAGTCAGGTTTCGCACCCCCGCCCATCTCATTCCACGCCACAATGTGGTAGGTCCGTGCGACCACCTTGCTGTCGGGGCCGCGCCACTGAAGGCTACCCCCGCGCTTCATGAAATGGGTCACCGAAACCGACTTGCCGTTACGAGTAAGCTTGAGGTCTGTCAGGAAGAAAGGAGTGGCTTTTATTATGTGAAGAATCGGGAAGAGAAGGGTCAACACTGCGTTGGTTCCAGGTTTGGCTCCATCTTGAAAGCAGAAATTCAGCTTCTTTAGTGATGATTTTTCTACAAACTACCACTAACAATCGAAGTCGTTTCTACGTATATACCAATTTCCCACTTATATTTCACGAATTTCCGTCAACGTCAATCACCAACTAGAAGGTATCAACGTAGGAAACACAGATTCGCCCCTCTATACTAAGGCATGAGCTGTCTGAGTAAGCATCATTTTCATCACCAGAAAAAGCAAAAATTTTACTCCCACTGTAAAACAAAACATCATTTATACTACTCTCGACCAAAATCCTACTAAAGGGCAATTAGTCTAAACTACAACCAACAAAGAAGGAAATAACGCCACCCATTTGATGCTCAAACTCCAGGTATCAGCTAAGAATAGCGATATAATAGACGGGCACCTATTTCCAACTGTATAACTGACTACCCCAGCATTTTCGGACTCCCACTATTAGATCTTCATTCTGGTTTCATGGGCTCGCCTATGCCATCCGAGCTAATACTTGCACATCACTCCTATGTTCAAGCTTGTATACTTTTCACCGCCTGCAGGGTTAACCTGGGAGGAAAAAAATATGATGTGTGCAGACAGGCATACATCCCTACCGTTCAT